TATTCGTGTGATATGAGCCAGATTTTCCTTTTTGGCTTCAATGTGAATCTAGAGTAGTGCCACGTGGCCTCACTGGAGTCACTCTTTACTTGTACTGACATAATGGAGAGCATGGTCTCACCCAACAGTATATTTGCTTTCTACAAAAACCAGCAATGATTTTATTTAACAGCAAATCCAATAAAAGATACACATGATATGTGCCACTTTAAACCTTTCCTGTTGTAGTTCCGTTATCTCCTTTGGCTGTTGAACAGTGCTGAAGGATTACTTGTGAGCCGTGATTTCAGGACCACTGATTTAGAGACTGTTCTTTATCTGGGACCTGGCTGTAGCTGCTCTGAAGATTTCAACAGACATCCTTTAAGGTCAAGGTGTCTTGTTCTGCTGTGGTTTTCAGGGCTCAGATCTTTAGTTCTTGCAGGCTTTCCTGCTATTGCTCTTTGCAAAGACTACTCAGCTCGGTAGTTTAGAAACACTTTGGCAGCTACAACCTGGCTTGTTTTACTTTCTAATCACAGTGGTTTCAGTGTAGGTCTTGGAGTAGATCGTGGGGACTTAAACCTCTTGAGTTCTGGGAGGACAGACACTCCCAGCCCTTACAGTCATTGGGAAGTTAAAAGCAGCAAGAAGCTGGGCATCCCTCAGGACAAAGGTGATGGGCCATCCCTGTTCCCACACGGGCAATTCCTGCTCGTGCTTCTTCCTTTCTTTCTGTCACTTTCTTGACTGCTTTTGGGTGCAAACTGGAACAGGTACAAAGTTGCTCTGCCACTGACACACTGCGTGTCCTTGGGCAAGTTGCTTCATCTCTTCATGACTCCGTTTCTTGTACATAGTCAGCTGTCCGGTAACATTCACCAGCTAAGCAGGGAAGGTGGGAAGCACTGTGGGGAACGGGAAGGGATGTCTGTGAAGGTGAATCAGCCAATGGGCAATGCTTTAAAAGTTTGGCTTGAGATACACACCGTTGATATTATTTGCCCCTGTCACGGTCAATAATCCGTCACACGAGCAATGCATTGGCAAGTGCCCCAGTGACAACTCTGGGAGAGCCTGGATATAGTGGAAACTGAGAGTATTAGTGGTAAAAGCAGAGGGGTGTCTTTATTTGCTTATGACTCTGCATAACCTGTTGCAAAGCTGTCTCTGCTGCTGCTCTGCTCCAGTCTACGTCACGGCATCCCTCACGGATTGCAGCAAGGGCTGTCCTCAACAGTCCAAAGTGCCATGGCAATGTTGGAGCATTCCT